CCAGCATCTGTGACCGGCATCTTCAGAGAGCAGGAGCACAGACAGGAGCAGTTCTCTCTGTGCCCAGATGCTGGCGAAACGTTAGGAAACAAAACTTCCAGAACATGTCCACATAGCCCGGAAGACCCACACCAGCCATCGTATTCCGGCCGTGAAAGCCTTCGACAATACATAGAGCCATCTTCAGTTCACCATTTCTTCCCTGGAAGTCCACACACATGCAAATCCTGTGTGTCACCTTTGGTTTAATATTATGTGTTCCATCGCAAAGATTTCGAGGGCAGAGGGAGTTTCTGAGGTTACTATATAATGCAATAGAAGTACTCAACTTTATGGGATTAATAATAGATAAGCCTCTAATTGCCAATTGCAGAATGTTTTAGAACAAAACTTGAAGGTAGCAAAAAATTATGGATCTATAGTATGAACACTGTCTTAAATATAACTTGTGTTTGGTACCTGGTTGGCTGGACTTACATAAGAACCTCCCTGCTGTATCAGAACAAAGGCTAATATTAGTCCAGCATTTTATTTCCAGTAGTGTCCAGGCACAGAGATAAAATACTGAATTCCCCATTCAGTTCAGTTTCTCTAAAAAGTCTTGAAGCCTTTAAGCAAAAGGCTGTCACTCGATAGTAGAGAAATATCTCTGCATGCAAATAAAGTGAGGGTGACTCCCACATAAACCACATGGCACTCAGGGGAAAGGCAGGATATACATTTCATGTACTACTAGTGGTGGTAGTGGTGGTGGTGGTGGTGGTGGTGGCGGCAGTAGTAGTAGTAATGCAGAAAATTCCAGGTTCAGTCCCTGGCATTTCAAGAAATGACTGGAAAGACCTATGGTAGACACCTTGAAAAACCCTCCAATCATTACAGACATAATTGAGCCAAATGTCTGGCTCAGAATAAGGGAGCTTCAGATATACTTACCGTATTCACATGGACATTTCCTACGAATTCTACCTTTAGTGTTTCTTGCATAAAACCCCAAATCTTAGGTTTCATTTGGAAGTTAAATCCAATTTAATGGTTCTTTGGAGGGAGAGCACTTTAAATCTGAGGATAAAGGATGTGCTCCAGATTTATAGCTATTTACTTTGTACCAAATATACTATTTACTATATACAATTTATTTTGACACATTCTTACCAGGGAAAAAGGGCAGTTATTTTATTGCAGTTATTGTAAACAAGATAATAATGGGACAGTTACTACGGTTATGGCGTAGGCTGTAGATAATGCTCAAGGCAGTCCAGAGAATCTCCCCAAATTTTGATGTACCCTAGGAAACTCTGTTGTTGTGCTTCCTGGTTTAGTAGTTGCCTTCCCCCCAGCATCATATGGCAACCCATTTTTTAAAGAGAGATTTTGTTTGTTTGTGTGTTTCTTTAAAGAACTTATATAGCTACCCATATTATGAACCATAATCCTGGATGGCTCACAAAACAATAAAAACAGTAAAAAAACAATCACGATAAAAACATTAAGCAACATTCTCCCACACATTCATCACACTCATCCAACCCTGATGCTTGTGGAACAAGCTAGCTCTTCAAGGCCTTCTGGAGAGCAGGGGCATTGGGTTTCTGCCGGTCTCTGGAATGTTCCACAGGGCAGAGGGAGCTATGGAGAAGGCACCCTTCCTAGATCCCGCTAGGCACAACATTTAGGGAAAGGGACCTGCAGAGGCCGGTGATGCAATGGGAGTTATTGCATCACAGACTGACAGTCCATGAAGTATGCTCTGCATTCTCGCCTAAAGATGTATGATGCAACTCCCATGGCAGGCTTGGGTCTAATCATGTCCTAGATCTCCTAGGAATCTAATGCATGCTGGCTTAGTTCTCTTTGAAAGAAGCAGTAATTCTAATAAGTGAAAGACCTGTGTATTTCTATACTAAAGTAAAATTTAATGTATTTAATGAAGTCCCCTTGTTGGTAAGTTCATTGTGAAACTGCAGACTATGTATGTGCATACAGATTGCCTAAAAGGTTCCTTAGAACCAAACTTATATCTTCTAAATGGAATCATCCTTCCCAAAACCTGTGAAGACACTCTTGTGGTGTGGGGCCATATTCATAAATAGACTATTGTAATTTCATCTAAGCAGTTTTCCTTATTCTCCTCTTTGGATCTGGGCTAGGCCTAATATGCACTGTGGTTTCTGTTTCTGCAGACAACAACCCTCATTGGCCTTCTGAAGACAGCCCGTCTACTGCGTTTAGTGAGGGTGGCCCGAAAACTGGACAGATACTCAGAATATGGTGCAGCTGTCTTGATGTTACTGATGTGCATATTTGCGCTCATTGCTCACTGGCTGGCTTGCATTTGGTATGCCATTGGGAATGTTGAAAGGCATTACTTGTCTCGCAAAATCGGTTGGTTGGATTCCCTGGGACAGCAACTGGGAAAGCATTACAATCGAAGTGATGGCAGCTCCGGACCGTCCATCAAAGACAAATATGTCACTGCACTTTATTTTACCTTCAGCAGCCTGACCAGTGTAGGATTTGGAAATGTGTCTCCAAATACCAACTCAGAGAAAATCTTTTCTATTTGCGTCATGCTGATTGGCTGTAAGTAAGCGGCTTTTTGCATTTTTACTTCCTCTCTAATTTACTAATGAATTTCTTAGCTTGTTTAGCTTGTTAAATACTCAAAACCTTTCAGGTAGAAGAGTGAAAGAACATGTTTGCAAGGTGAAGACTGGGGCCCTTGGGCAAAATTTCTCTAGGGAATGCACTTTTTTAAATTGCTTTTCATGAAGACGTTTTGCCAGTGTTCATTTTGAACTTCACATTCCAAACTTCTCTGGTTCAGATGTTGTTGGTTCTGAGGTTTCACAGTAATTGGAGCTTTTAGGGGAGTTAACTGTCACTCCTAAGTCAGTAGCCTATTCTTTTTTATAGGAAGTTGATGTAATTAATATTAGTTATTTATGTACTCTATGGAATAATGAGCTTGAACGTCCTATCTTGGCAAATCAATGGAGGGTTGCTTTAAATAATTTGAAATTAGTTTACTATTGATTTAAAATAAGATCAATGCAACTAAAAAAATTGCTTTGTCTGTATTGGAAATTTCAAAGAATATTTCATAAGAGTTGGTTGCAGTCACTTTGCTATTAAAGATGCAACTCTGGAGTTGGAAGGTTAATCCATATAGTTTAGACTTGTCCTGTTACTGCTTCATGTTGGCCTAAAAACTCTAAATTGATCATTGTGTAGTAAAGATGGATAGTTCTTCTTGGTTGTATCCCTAGTATTTGCAATCTACTGACATCAAGGATTTTGAGTTTTTCAAAGGGAAAAATAATGCAGAATGCATTTGCCTAATTACAAAATAATCACAACCTTACATATCTTAAAACGGGAATCAACACCTCCAGCACAATTTGTATTCCAGATAAGATTCAGTAACACTTTTCTTTTTAAAAATTAACCACTGTCTACAGGTTATTTATAGTATCTCTTGAGGAACAGTTCACACTCAGAATCCTTTTAAAGGTCAACTAACAGTCTTGTAGCACAATGTGAAATGTATAGACCCTATTGATCTTCGTATAGCTCAATTTAATTTAGTAGTGTTTGGTTGGCATTATTATCATCATCAACAACTGCACAAAAGGTCTCAAAGTGGTGTATAAAAATACAATTAAAATACATATAAAAATCTGTGCAATAAAAAGGAGGCAAAGGAAGAAAACAAAACCTAAATTTATCGTACATTTATTCATGGAAGTCTTGGATGAGAAGGATGGCCTTGAACAAACATACTGAGCATATAATAGAACGTGCCTCACACACATCCCAGGGAAAGTGCATAGCACAGGACAAGCAGTGCTACAGAGACAGCACACTGATGCGTGGCCACAAGCCCTTTGCTGTTCTTGGCACACAATGCAGAACCTCCTATTACTCCAGGCCTGTAAGTTGTGAAGGCAGTTGCTTCAGGTCTCAACCATCATGGACAACAACTTGAACTTGGTTGGTAGCAAATTGGCAACTAGTACAATTGTTTTATCAGGAGTATAACATGGACATGCATCACATTTGGTAAGCTGTTTGGCTGTTGCATTAAGTTAAATTAATCCTTGAGTCTTACTGGAGTCTCTTTGGTTAAACCAATTAATTTATTATTACGTTTGTAGACAGCTTTCTCTTGGAATAGCCAGCTGGTGGCAATTAACAAAAGCTTGGAGGGGTTCTTGAGGCTCTGATGGGCAATTTGACTGAGGCCTTGGTCACAGCCTGGAGTGGGCATTTGATGAGGACCTTAGATTATGATTGTTACTAGTTGGCTGCTCACTGTGTGTCAATCCTGAGGTCCTCATCAGATCTCTGAGGCACTTCAGGAGATGATATGCCTGAAGAGACACCTAAAGTGCCACTGAAAGAAGACACTGAATCCAACCACGTAAGAGTAAGAGCTCATACTAGGGATTACATTGTAGCAATAAGAATGGTAAAAGATAGCTATTTTTCCACTCTTATCACATCCACAGTTAGCCATCCAGTAGCCCTTTTTTAAAGTGGCTCATTCCTTGCTAGGGAGGGACATGCCACAGGATCATCTCTATGTCCACTGTGAGGTCAGCTATTATTTATTAATAATAAATAAATGCAATAGTAATAGCAATCACATTCAATTTTATATTAATCTTTAGTATAAAAGAAATAACCATCAACATAAAAGAATTAACATAGCAAATAAGTAAACCCCCAGCAACATAAATACAAGCCATCAATATAAAATTAATATAAAATATTCAGAATGATCTCTGCCCCATGTCTTTTCTTAGCCTTTTCAGGATTTCAGCTTCAAACAATTTACATAATGAACTTTAACCTATTCATTATTATTTATAAACCACTATACAAGAAAGTAAGACCAATATCCATTCCTTTGCACTGACGTTCCTGGGTCTTAAGGTGTTCTCTCTATATGGCTCAGATATGTGCAGTGTGTTAAAAAATACCTACTCTGCACCAGTTTATGCTAACTAGTTCTATCTTAGGGATAGCAAGGAGACCTACTTTACAGAGGATATCTTCCATTTGTGCCATCCTCCTTTTGAAGTGTCGTTCAAACAAAGTCCAGTTTCAAGAAACATAAGAAAGAAGTGCAGAAAGTTTGAACTTACCCATTAACTGTAAGCAGTTACACAGCAACACTTAGGTCACCTTGTCATAAGTCTTCCCAAGTGGGACATGATGTATTTCATTTCTACTGAAATTCTTGTCATTATTTCTATTTTTGCTTTCATACATATCTATAGTAGGCTGTAACATCTAACCAACCTTGGCTGATCTCAATAAGCTAAGCTGGTTAGAATTGAATAGGAGAACATCAGAGAATGACAGAGCAGTAGGTCAGAAGGCAATGGCAAATCAGTTCTCTAAATACTTGTGAAGAAAACCTCATGGATGGGTCTACAGAGTCACCAGGAGGCAAATTCAATGTGAGAGAACCAGTGTGGTGTAGTGGTTAAGATGTTGGACTAGGACACATGACTTTTCTGCACTGCAGCCTTCAACTCCTTGTCTCCCATGTGTAAACTGGAATGAAGAAGACCTTTTCCAGATTTCAGTCCCTTCCTATTTGGTCACAGGGATGGCCAGGTATTCTGTCCAGACTACAGTTACCACAGCCCCTGCTTCTCCTTCCCTCCCCTCCATGCCAGGGAAGAAGCACCAGCTGCTTTCCCTTCTATGGGCAAGTATTTTGAAGACTGGTGAAGAAAGAGGATAAAACCTGACAATTTTTACAGATCTTCCTGTCAATGGAGCTAGAAGAAAAAAAATGGAAGAATTCTTGACAATTTCACCCATTTTTTTTTAAACTGTTCCTCCACTGAATGTGTTAAAAAACAAAGAAATAGCCAGCATTTCACCTGAAGCTTAAAAAATAAAATCCCAAAGTTCCATCCTTTTATAGGAGGCAGGTCACCAGCCCAGTATGAAATGGCTGTCAAAGACTGGGGGGGAGGGGGGGGCCACCAGAGCACCCACCAGCCAATTGAAATGGATGGATGGATGGATGGATGGATGGATGGATGGATG